GGTTATGCCTGAATCGGCTGAATCAGGGGAAGCTAGCACACCTGCTCTGCCATGGAGTATGTCACGGGATCTCCTGAGAGAGGCACTGGTGCGGGAAGAAACACATGCTGTTAGACTTCAAGCTGTGTAGGCTTTTGAGTGTTGATCGAAGCACCCATCAGGCTCCCTTGACCCGGGAGAAGACAGAGTCAGGAAACCTACACCTGAGTCAGGAAACCAGATCGTCCTAGTCAGGAAACCTTTTTGTCAAGTCAGGAAACCTAGAAATCAGTTCACAATAGAACAACAATAAGAACAAGAGCAAGCAGGACACCTTGACCCTGTTTGGAGTACAAAATGGCACCAACCTACCTACCTTAAAGGCTGGTGAAAGAGGGGTCAAACAGGTTCCAGCCTGGAAGGTGTGCAGGGAGGTATCCCTGATTTCATTGCTCTTGCTCACAAGGGACTTGTTTGCAAAAGGCAAATGGAAACCGATGGATCCCTGAGGTTTCAACATGCATCAATCCCTTCTGTTCGAAGGCCAGCCTTTTGGCTGGAGCCGAACGTTTGGCACATATCGCCACCATCCAAAGACCCGGTCGCTGGTTTGACTCGTAAGATCATGCAAAATCTACAGTATAGCAGCTGAGTTTTCAGGTGCTCAGGTTTTTGAACTTGAAGTGCTGGATGATGAGTTTAGTCTGGAGATGTTTGGAGCGTGCAAAAGTTGTTGTTTATGATGTGGCAATGGCAATGTTGTATGTGGTCACAAATGTAGTCATTGTTTTGTGGTGATGCGGTTATGTGTGACTGCTTTGTGCTTTGATTTGCCATCGGGCCATAGGATTGAAGGGCACACAGTGGCTTCGATTGCATGCAAGGTCGGATTGCAATCGTACATTCAGGGCATGCACTTTCACATCATTTTCATGCAAGGTCAGTGCTCTCTCCCATCCATTTGCATTCTGTAGGGGTCTTCTGTGTTTGTACCTCTGAACTTTCCTATCTCCAACACATGGTGTACTAGGGATTCAATTCTACCAGTACTGCGGATTCTCTACCAAATTATGGTGTTTAACCTATTGAATCACTCACTCACTGACACTGGTGTTCCACGACTTACCCCAAGGAAGATTGAATCGAAACTTGTTTGATTAGAGCCGCGCAAGCTGTGCTTCGCTCGACCGAAACGGAGCGAAATTCCGGGCTCAGCCGACGGTCCCACCGAGTTCCACAGGAACAAGAGTACATGCGCAAGTACGGAGAGCTGGTGGCGAAGAATGCAACTCCTGACGATGTGTCCGAGCACGTGCAGACCGAGGTGAGCACCATGATCATGCTTGCTCTGGGGAGGTTTCTGGTTCAACAGCCAGGGGACATCAACGAGTTGTGCAAAAAGGTGCATTTGGGACTTGTCGAGTTGCTCCCACTTCTTTACTTCCTGGTCTGGGCACTTCTTGTGGCTGAAATATCCTTCCTCCATGCCGACTTTTTGCCACCAAGTCCGCTGCCTCCACAAGTGAAAGAATTCATTCCACAGTTGGCACGCTATGAATTTGAGAAGAACCTTGGAATCATCCCTGGCTGCTTGGCAGCACTTTTTGCCTTGCTTGCGGCTGCTTAGTTGCAAGCAGAGTGGCATCACACGGCGTTTGCGTGAGTGGCTGTATGCCTACGGCCCGCTAGAGCAGTGGCAAGCAATGTACCGCAAAGGCCAAGAGCTTCAGGATGCAACATATGCCAGGGTTTCCAAGAAGGAAAAGGAGAAGCTTTTAGCACCACAAGAGAGGTCCACTTCACGGGTCGCGTGTGGCTTCCAAGTGAACTCCCACGCTGTGGCCCTTCCACGCAAGTCGGAGGTCTTCTTGAAACTGGGCATCTACGGGGTGCTTGGGTTGAGCATGTTTGGGTATCTATGTGTCCAGGAAGATCTCAGTGAACATCTAGCTCCAGTCCGAGAGATGATTAATAAACTTGCAGATTCACATCTTAGCAAGACCAAGTCAGCCATGCCGAACAATCAGCAGGAGACTCCATCTCAGGTTACACACCTGATGTACAACTGGCCCATCAAGCATCCTGAGCTCTACTACCTGGCCCTTTGGCTTCCCATTTTTCTGTTTCGCCTCTTCAATGCTATTCTTTTTGGAGCTGAATGTTCATTCCTCGCACAGACCTCTGAGAGACTCTTTAAGAAGGTGGGCGCGGGGGATGAGGGCAGGTCGCAGGTGAAAGAGCAGCTTGACGTCCTGAAGTGGAAGGTTCAGGACATCTCCTCCGACTGGAGCTTGATGCTGAAGTTTGGCGTTGTGCTGGACTTCGTGGCAGTCGCCACTGGGGCTTTGGCTGTATGGCGTCTGACAAGGCACTTTGATCGCGGGTATGATGTATTCAATTGTGGCTTGCCTCATCACTTTAACGAGTATGATGGATTCAGTGGCTTGCTGGTGTCCAACTGTTTTACCTCGCTGATTGTGCTGTTTGTGCAGATTCTGCCAGTGATCACTTGGAATGCCTCCCTCGAGAAAGCTTCCAAGGATACTGACAATATAGATCCTGTGCTGCACTTGTGGCTGTCACAAGGCTTCCTGAAGATGAAAGTCTTTGGACTGGCTCTGAGCTGGTCATACTTTGTTGCTTTGGCTATCGCGCAGCTGGCCTTGATGCGAAAGACCATCCAGGCGATTGTGCTGCCTCCGCTCATGCGAACGCTTGACTAAGGGAGGTGTTCTTGGAAGAAATTGGAATTCATCGGAATGCATCTCTGTGAAGTTGGGCCAATGAGCCCAGGCCACAGGAGGTCTTTTCTTACTTGAAGTACCGAAGTTTCATCTTCGTGAATTCGGGTCAATGAGCCAATTTCGTAACTGGATATCTGGATGGAGGCATGCAGGCGTAGCAAAAGAATCTAAACGCATCGACAGAAAGCAATTAACACGGTTTGCTGGACCCTTGACTTTCGGGCTGTCCAAAGTTGGTGGTGCTGGTGTTCAACCAGCAGGTTCTGCCGACGAATTGGACTGGAATTAACAGATCCTTGAGAATTGAAATGAATTGAAGGTTGGTCCGGGGATCTACATTGCAAAGACATCGTGCGGGCGCTTGGAATGTGACCCCATGTGCAGTTTCATGGAGGGATAGGAGGAAGGGGCGGACATTTTGCCCGATTCCACGAGAGCTTTGTCCAACACCTTGAGTTCAGTGGAGTTTTGATAGAACGGCTCTATCACTGCTTTACTTCTATCATCTTCTATCCTTTTTCAAGCACAAACAAATTCACAAATGTGCAATGTTCCCACCAATTTGGATGTCAGGCCTCCCAGCGTCGCGTGAGAGGAATGACTGGGCCTTTGCGCAGGTCCACGAGAAAAACTACGTAAGATGTTCGCGTGAAGCCAAGACCGGAAAGCAAGACCAGATGGTCTGGAGCAGTTGGTCAAAAGCTTTGGATCACAAGCGTTGAGTCACCACTTGGTCAAGATGGTCCTCTGCTCGGACAATGAAAACCCCTTAGCTCGTCTCCGCGGTGTTCGGAGCTGGTGCCCAGTCTCGGACTCCGAGCTCATGGGTGATCTGGTGAAGGCCACATTTCTGGCCGAGAGAGACTGAGCCTAGATCAGTGCCCGCAATCTGACAGATCTGTGCAAAACATGATCCAATCATTGCCGATCTCATTGGAAACTTCATCCTTTAACTCAAAACCACTTGAAGCGCTCTGTTACATTGGATCCCTTTTGCAGAGTTAGACTTGGGCCTCGCGACATATCGACGGGACTTGACCCTCCGGTTGGAGTGCAGGTCCTGTGAAACAACTTGAAAGAATGTTCCCAAGATTCCCTTGCCGATGTCAAAGGTCTCATTTGTCATTTATGAGCTCCCAAAACTGGAGGATTTGTGACTTTCATGGCTTTCATGGCGGTCTGCTCCGGCGACTTCCTGGGCGGCCGTGGCCGTCTTGCCGGATGCCCGGTGAGGTGGGCGAAGTCTTCGAGGTCGAGGTCCAAGCGCCAAGTGAGGTGGATCCGCCTGGGGAGCCCAGAGAGGAGACAGGTAGACCCGGGTAGACCCGGGTAGACGGGTGGGAGGAATGGAGCACGACTGGAAAGAGGGATGAAGAGGGAAGAGAGGAGACGAGAGGAGAGGAGAGAAGACGAGAGGAGATGAGAGGAGATGAGAGGAGTTGCGGAGGGTGCCCTTTTGAATCTTTGGGGGACTTTGGGGGAAATTTATGAGCTAGGCAGCAGTATTCAAAGGAGTTTTTCGTATTTCAGGGTGTCTGTTTGGCAAAAGCTCAGTTTTGTAGCTGCGCCTGTTTCAAGGCCCGCTATGCGGAGAATCTTTGCAATCCAGTTCAGAATCAGGGCACCTTGAGTTCGACTTGGCACTACGCGAGGGATGCGATTCATGCATTTTGCTCCTCAGCCAAGTTGATGTCGGACGTTCCCTCAGCTTGTGATGCTTTTTTTGTGTGTGATGTGTTCGAATCAGGAAAGAATCCACGCAACCCTGGCGGCCCTTGTCATCCTGTGAAAGGGCTGAAGAAGCCAGCAAGCTTCAGGCAACCAGCTTTTGGATCACTGGAGTGGCTTGCTTTTTCAATAGATCTTCATGGAAAATAAATTGGCTGTTGGACTTGTAAGATCCAACATGATCCAACAAACAATTTATAGATAAATCTCCAACAGCAAGCAAACGGAAGCCACACCACATGTCGAATTTCTGCAGAGATTCAGCCAAGCGTGTCCGATGAAAGACCGGGTGCTGGTTTTCGCACGTTCTGTGCACGGCTTGAGATGCTGGCAGGCACATCCTGGATGCTGGCAGGCACGAGGACTTCACCGCATGAAGGAGGCGTCATGAGGCGTCGCACGGGCTCTCAAACACAAACACTGTGTCTTTGGCGCATGACAGGTGGAGCTTGAAACGCCCCTGAGTCTATCGAGTCTATCCCATGGATCTTACAACTGCAGAATTTCTATGAATTTCTGCCTTTGGGGTATTTCTGCAGTTTGAAGATCCAGGTATGAACTTCGATAGGATCTCAAAAGGTCGCTCAACCTCTTTTGTACTCCCATACTTTCATCTTTCCCTTCGGCAGCCGACGTCTTTCGGCTCTGATCCGAACGTCTTCGGCTCTCATGACCCGAAGAATGCAGCTTTTGCTATGGGCCCTGCTGGCTCTCCCTGTGGCTGCCAGGGAACTTGCCAGGTCCATGCAAAAAGTGGTTGCAGCTCTAGAGAACATGGAGGCCAAGAGCAACGAGGAGATGCAGGAAGAGAAGATTGAATTTGCCAAGTTTGATGAGTTTTGCAAGCACACCTTGAATGACAAAGAGCTTGGAATCAAGAAGACTACAGAGCTTCTGGAGACCATTGAAGCTGAAATTTCAAAGCTCGACACTGAGGTTGCCAGGCTGACTGGGGAGATTGCAGACCACGAGGCGGCTGTGGTGAATGCCCAGAATCAGCAGGCCAACGCTACAGAGTTGCGCAAGGCTGAAGCAGAGGATTTTGCTTCCCGGAGAACATCTTTGAAAGAGTCCTTGGAGGCAATTGACAAGGCAATTGATCACCTAAAACCCAAGAAATCGGGATTTGTGCAGCTGGATCAGAAGGCATTTGAACTTGCTCCTGATGAGTTGGCAGAGATTTCCAAAGCATTATCACTGGCTAGAGCCTTGGACAAGCCAACACCACCTGAACCAGATGCCTACAACTTCCAATCTGGGAGAGTCATAGAAACATTGGAAGGCCTTCGGGACCAATTTGTGAAGCAAAGTGCAAAAGCGGATGCATCAGAGGCGAAGAAGAAGCACAGCCATGAAATGTTGCTGAGCAACCTTGAAAATGAGATCAATCTCCAGGAAAAGGCCAAGGAGCAGAAGTCAAAATTCAAGAGTTCAGCTGTCAGTCGCAAGGCTGAAGCAGAAGCCCAGAAGTCAGATTTGTCAAAAGATTTGGAAGGTGATCAAAAGTCTCAAAGTGATCTCTCTGCCGAATGCAAAGTGAAAGGCAGCGACTTCCAGGAGCGCCAACGACTGCGACGCGGCGAGATTGCGGCGATCGGAAAGGCCTTGGAGATTCTAAGTCCTAAACCCTGGTCGTCCAGCTTGCTGCAAAGTGGACGAAACGGAAGGCGAACCGTCCAGTGGACAGTGCAACGACTGCAAGCGAACGGCGCCGTCTCCTTGGCATCGCTTCGCTCCGTTGCCGTGGCTCCGCCGGTCGCTGAAGTGATGCAATTCTTGGAGCAACGAGCAAGCGAGCTGCACAGTGCGGCCTTACAAAGCCTTCTTGTAAGCTTGCAGGAGCCGAGTGCTGTGGAGCAGATTGCCCAGGTAGTGAAAACAAAGATCGAGAAGCTGCAGACTGATGACCTTGTAGATCCCAAGCAGAAGCTTTGGTGTGACCAGGAGCTGGCTGAGAATGGTAAGGCACGTGAAAGCAAGAGTGATACTCTGCAGAGCTTGAAAGCTGAAATTGAGCGACTTGAAAGCTCCTTGGTTTCCCTTGCGGAAGAGAATGAAGCGCTTGCAGCTGATGTCACCAAGCTCGACACGAACATCAAAGAGGCCTCAGAGTTTCGCAGGTCTGAGAAGGCCGAAAACCTCAAAAGCCTGACAGAGGCCAGCGAGTCCAAAGAAGCTCTAAATGCTGCCATTGAAGTTTTGGAAGAGTTCTATAGCAATTTGAGTCTGTTGCAAGTGGCGTCCTTGAATTCCAAGTCAGCGAAGCCAGAGTTTGAGGCAGGATCTTACAGTGACGGTGGTCGGAGTAGTGTCATCAAACTGCTGCAGGAGCTAGAGACAGATTTCACTCAGGAGGTGTCGAATCTACAAGCAACCGAGCAGGCTGCAGCAGACGAGTTCAAGCAATTCTTGTCTGATGCAACATCAGACAAAGCCCGAAAGAGTAGCACGCAGCAACACAACACGATGTCCATAGCCTCTCAAAAGAGGTTGTTGGAACAACGGAAAAAGGACCTCGAGTCCACGGACCAGCAATTAAGTGCTGCTTCGCTGTACCATGAGGAATTGAACTCCAAGTGCTTAGCCTCAGACACCAAGTTTGCCGATGCGCGAAAGCACCGGGACGAAGAGATTGAATCTTTGCAGCATGCCTACCACATTCTGAACGCATGAGATGCAACAGTCATCAATGACAGACATGTAGTGTAGCTCATCTACGGAGCCGAGAACAAAGGTTCGGGACGAGCGCCTAGCTTTGTTTGCTTTTAATGATTTTAATGTATATAGAATATAGATGAATGATGAATGTAGATCAACCCGCATTCATGCTACCTGGGTTCCTTTTGCAACTTATCCAAGACATGTCATATCATGTCATGGCCTGAATCGGGGTAATCATGGAATGCCTTTTAATCATTTCTCTCATTTAGCACTTCTGTCACAAGAAGCTCAGGCAGCGTTGACGAAGTGAAAGGCTTCGAGTCAACGCTGCCAATGGTCCGCCCTTTGGACGTGTCGCGCTTCCTCGCCTCGTCGCAGGCTGCGGCATGTCCGGTGCATCGCGCCGGTTGGAGGCGGCAGTCCCGCCATCTTAGATTGTTGATGATTGTTGCGTTGGCTTCATGAAGCTAAAAGGGTACCATAATCAGTAGGTGCTTGACAGAGCGTGCCCGGCATGCCGCCGGGACCCTCTGGTGGTACCAGCTTCAACCCACACCTGTGCGCGGTAGCACATCTGAAGATGAACCAGCACTATCCAGGGGATGGGTCAAGATTGCTTGTGATGCTGTTTGCTTTCCAACAATTCGATGCTTCGGGACTGGAGGAGATGAATTGGCTGGTTCGAAAAAAGAATAATCAGGCAAAATAATCTTGTGAGGGCTAGCACGATGTGTATTAACCCACATTGGCGGCTCAGGGGGAGCTAAAAGAGTCCATAATGCTCCATATTCTTTCTTCCCGAATGTGTAGCGAAGGGTTGTCAGGGGGTCTGGGGGTAGAGCCTTGTTCGCGACTCGTGGTCTGAGCGTTCGCAACCGTCCGCAACCGTTCGCCGCCGACCGCAGTAGGACGCTAAGGCCACTGCCATTGGGGGAAGGTTTTGTTTGGAGAGGGTTTGGCATGAGAACGTGATGTATCAGATTTGTGTGAAATAGCAAGGAAACGTGTGGAAGCGTAAGATGGCGAAGTGTGGAGGATGAGTTCACTCCGCAGGCGCACCGTTTTGTGAGATCGGCAGTTTTCTGCGCAGTCACATTGGGATTGGCGTTTGGAGAGTGGTGTTTTTTGGGGCGTTGGATGTGGCTGTGACGTTGGGATTTGCGTTTCAGGGTGTTGCACCGAAGCCCTGTTTTCGTGACAAGTCTCAGCTGAAATGGCGACTTTGGTGGATGGGAGTGTGCTCAGAACGGGTCGAAATCATTCCAAACGTGTGGTGCGGTGCCAATTTGTTGAAGCTCACACTCACATGATATGATGTGGTCACTTTTCGTGGCAGGCGCAGTACTTTGTGTGGGCTTTGCGGTCTGGAAGTACGATTTTCGTGGCGGGCGGGGCACTCTCTCGTCGTAGGACACTCTTGTGGGGCATTCTTGCAGAACACTCTTGTAGGACTCTCTTGTGGGACACTCTTATATGAGACTCCTGTGGGACACTCTTGCGGAACACTCTTGTAGCACACTCTTGTGGGAAAGTCTTGTAGGACACCCCTGTCGGACATTCTTGTGGGTCACTCTTGCGGGACACTCTTGTATGACATTCACTCTTGCGAGGCACTCTTGCGGAACACTCTTGTAGGACACTTTGCGAAGCACTCTTGTAGGAATCCCTTGTGGGACACTCTTGTGCACTCTTGTGACGCACACTCTTGTGGCGCACACTTGCGGAACACTCTTGTAGGACACTCTTATGGGATTCCCTTGTAGGAAACTCTTGTAGGACACTCTTGTCGGACACTCTTGTGGAACACCCTCATGGGACACTCTTGTGGGACACTCTTGTGTGTGTGTCACTCGTGGGACCCTCTCGTAGGACACTCTTGCGGAACTCTCTTCTATAGGACATTCTTGTGGGACACTCTTGTGTCAATCTTGTGGGACACTCTTTCGGAACACTCTTGTAGGACACACTTGTGGGACACTCATGCGCGACACTCTTCTATGTCGCTCTTGTCGGACACTCTTGTGAGACACTCTTGTATGTCACTCTTGCGGGACACTCTCGTAGGACACTCTTGTCGGACACTCTTGTGGGGCACCCTTGTAGGACTGTGACACTCTTGTGGGACGCTCTAGTAGGACACTCTTGTCGGACACTCTTGTAGGACACACTTTGTGGGACACTCTTGTCCGACACTGTTGTGGAACACTCTTGTAGGGCACTCCTGTCGGGCACTTTTCCCTTTACTCTTGTGGGACACTCTTGCAGAGCACTCTTGAAAGACACTCTTGTGGGTCACTCTTCATTTTGGGATTGTATTGTGTGGGACGCTCTTGCGGGTCACTCTTGTAGGACACTCTTGTGGGACGCTCTTGTCGGACACTCTTGTGGGACACTTTTGTGGGACACTCTTGTGGGACACTCTTGTCGGATACTCTTCTGAAACACTTCAAGTCGGCAAAAGTTTCGCACGAGACTTCCTCAAAAGCTCGCACGTCGAGTCTGCAAAACGAGCGTTTCGTACCAGACTTCCTCAAGAAGTCTGCAAAGCAAGCGTTTCGTACGAGACTTCCTCCAAAAGTCACGCATCAAGTCTCCAAAACGAGCATTTCGTACGAGACTTCCTCCTAACGTCACATGCAAAAGTCTCCAACACGAGCATTTCGTACGAGACTTCCTCCAAAAGTCAAGCGGGAGTCCCCGTCACAGCACACACATCAAGCAGCCCTGCCACCTCCACCGCAACTCGCAACCTCACGATTCCCTGCGCCTGCCAAGAAACTTTCCGTATCCACACGTCTGACGCGCACAAAGTACTGCGCCTGCCACGAAATGTCACCTCCATCACACCTCGAAATTCCACGACCCCCTGCACAAGAGTGTTCCGCAAGAGTGTCCCACCGGAGTGTCATATAAGAGTGTCCCACAAGAGAGCCCTACAAGAGTGTTCTGCAAGAGTGCCCCACAAGAGTGCCCCACAAGAGTGTCCTACGAGAGAGTGCCCCACAAGAGTGTCCTACAAGAGTGTTCCACAAGAGTGTCCCACAAGAGTGAGTGTCATACAAGGTGTCCCACAGGAGTGCACAAGAGTGTCTCACAAAGGTTTCCCAAAAGAATGCGTCCTACAAGAGTGTCCCACAAACGTGTTTCCTACAAGAGTGTTTGTTTTCGAGTACGTGTTTGCATTTGGGTTTGTGGGCTCCATCTTGTTGAATCGCGGCTGCTCCTTTGGGCGCCATGGGACCGTTCTCACCGATTAGTTCTGAGAATCGAAGCTGCCATTTCGGAGTTCCAGCATGCTGTGCCAAAAACATGTCACTTCTCAGTTCACAGCTCGGGTTTTCGAGAAAACCGATGGCTGTGCCAGGTCACATCGGAAGTTGCGGAGTGTTTTCCACTGCGTTTCGACCAGACTTCGGTGCCAAGGTTGCACCAGCCTTCACGGAATTTGGGCCCTTCTCCAATGGGAATGGTCTTTGTCGGCCACAGAGTCGGTTTCGGTGTTGTCGAATCCACTGAGCCGATCTGTGGAGCTACAAGATTTGCTACAAAGCGTGCAGAAAGGTGAATCATGTGGCAGAGCACTTTAGACAGGTGAAAGATGTACATATCATGATCTCAAAAAACAACTTCAATTTGTGCTTCAGGTTTGGTCGCAACATGCTGCTACTACTTGGCTCAAGCATAGTGGTTCTGGCTGTTCTTGGTGCGGTATTGCACAGAGAACACGTGTTTTGTTTTGAAACCGTGCAAAGTCATGTGCAGTTACATGGCACGCTTTGTTGCACCGCCAGATCCTACAATGATACACCTGATTCCTTGCATTTAAGGCGTGTGTAGCGAACTCGGGAACCAACATTCCTATGAGCGCAGCACAAATGCAGAGATGAAAAGTCAAGAGGCTTGCCACCTCGGGGATTCGCTGCTGGCACATCCTTGTGTGACGTCAAGGACGTCCTTGTCGAATATGAAGGCTCAGACCCATCTTCGATACAGATCCCATTTGCACCATGGATCAGAGGCAAACGGAAGGGTAGTGCACAGAAAGGGGTTTGCAAAAACCTATTCTACCAGCATCGTGGAAGGCACGGGACATTCGTAGAACCCAAGGCTATTCGTGGACAGTTCGTGGAATGGTGGGCCAGTAGGAGAACTGACTGCAACGAAATCCCAGAAACCTTCGCAGAACTTCGTGGAAGGTATTTTTGATCGTATAAGCGATTTTTGCTGACCCCCTTTCTCCACACACCCTCCATTTAGCCTTCAATGGAAAAACACGGATCAAGGATCGCCGAGGTGCTGAAAGAGCCCCTCCGGCTTTGGTCTACTAGGGTCCTAGGTGTCAACACGAAGGCTTAAGGACCCTGGCGGCCAGACGTGTTGGACACTTGGCCCGACTTCAATACTCCAAAGGAGTGAGCACCATCACCATTGCGCGGGTGCGCAACTCTTGTTGCTCACAGAGTTGCGTTGAACGTGGCAGATTGCACGACTCTCTATGGGCAAGCATTTTCACATCTCTTGACCTGGCATTCTTTGCAAGATTTGACAACAGATATCGTCACGAATAACATGTCGTCAACGATGGTTAACGTCGTCCATCTGCTTAGGTTGTTCGCACAAAAGCTCACAGACATCTCCGACTGAGTTCACATTTTTGCCACACAAGGCTAGACGCTCAGAACTGAGCTTTCCTGGCTCTGCTATGTCCTGCTTCACACTTCAGCTTCGAGTCACGCTCACATGATTTGCGTGGTCGCACACCTTGTGATTCTCTGCTAGTCGAGTCTGGCACAGATTCAGATGAAATGTCCTGCCTCACGTAGACTAGACTGGTTCGCAAAATGTGTATGCCTGCCCTGAGGCTCTGAGGAAGATCGATGTGTTTGATGAATTTGCAAAAGTGTCCTAGGACGCCAGGAAAATAAGGCTTCAACACATTATTTCAGGCCAAGTTTACCAAGGCGCTCCTAACAAAGTAAACATCAAACACATATTCAACCGGTTTCTATCCAAGTCTGACGTTTAGCCGAGAAGGAGCCGAAGGAGTAAAGGGGGAGCTGAAGGAGCCT